TGTGGTATACCCACCCCTTCTGGTGGGTGATTTCTTGCTTTCTGTCTGTCTCTCTCTGTCTTTCCATCAAGTGGATGTGCCCAATAGCAAAAATCTCGCTTAAATAAATAAATAAATAAATAAATAAATTCTTAAGATGTTTGAATATGTCTAAAGAACAATCAGGAAATCAGGAAACACGTTATTTAATACTGTAAAGTTCAAGGTTCTCAGCTCCACTTGATACTATTCTATATCCAAATTCTTTGAGAAAAGATGTATTGCTCACCAAAAACTGGTGTAACCTCAGCAAAATCAATGTGAGTAAGGACATGAAGGTCCAGAGGTGGAAATACTTCTTCAATGTGTACCTAGTTGGGCAGCATGAAGAGAAAAGTGGTAGAAACCTAACTGTGGAATGCACTGGAAATGAGGCATAAACATATTTCAATTAATCCAAAAAATAGCTCAGAGTACCCAACTCATGACTCAGAAAGCCTTAATTAGTGACACAGTTATGTCAATCTGCAAGATTCATGATATAATGTCCAGAAACATTACAATAGTGAGTGAAAATATTTAACAAAGTCTTGACCTAATACAATAAAAGAGATCTAAATGCTTAGCCAAGTGTTTCATATGCTCCTAAAGAATGACACGCTCAAAACACCACATTTATTACAGTATCTTAAATAATATCCTCTAAAATTCAAAATAAGTATCATGGCCACTGAAACAATTGAAAAACAAAAAAAACTAAAGAACTCCTTTTGTGTATAACCCCATTTGTCCTTCCCTGATATGTTGATATATCTCTTGCATAATTTAATACAAGGTTTATGATGAAGATTTCATCTGGCTCTCAACCATTCAGTTTACCAGCATCCTCACTACGGCTCTAGCCAAAATAATCTTACATGAGAAATCCCCTAACAGTTGTTTATCTCTTTTTCTCTCTTTTTGAAAGTGTCTACACATGCCACATCTCTTACTTTTTACAGTTTTATTCATTCTGTTTTTTAACAGTAAGAGTAATCTTTTCCAAATTAAAGCTGTCTCGGGGTCAGAAGGCAGCCTGGTGTTTAAGGCACTGTATCCCAAAGGGATGACGCCACAGTTCGAGTGCTAGACCCAGCAGCTTGAAAAGCATGGCAGGTGCATGTGCATGAATGCTCAAAATCCTGAGAGGAGAATAAAGAATTGCAGCATGGAATTCCCCTTTGAGGGGTGATTTCTCACTTAACCTCTCTGTCTCCATCTAGTAAGTGCACATGTAAAATTATTTTTAAAAAAGGTCATTTTTGGGACCAGCAGTTAGCGTAATGGCTATGTTGCTGGACTCCCATGTAGTCGATCGTGGTTCGCGTACCGGACCCGGTGGCTTAAACTCAAGTCAGGCGCGTGTGCGCGCATGCCCAAGATCCTGAGAGAACAATGGAGGAGAAGGGATTGCAGCATGGCTATCCCCCCTGGGGGGTGATTTTTTACTTTCTGTCTCTCTGTCTCTCTCTCTGTCTATCTGGTGTGCGTGCATGTGCCCTATGGGGGAAAAAAAGGCCATTTTGCTATTCACCTATCTTTTTTCTATTTATTTATTTTTACTTTCTTTTACTGTATGACATTATAACATACAAAATCAATTTCCCCATCTAGAATACAGCATATATTGGCTCATTCAAAGTTATTACCATATCAGGAACCAGCAGTTAGCGTAATGGCTATGTCGCTGGACTCCCACGTAGTTGACCGCAGTTCGCATCCCGGACCCGGTGGCTTAAAACTCACGCCGGGCACGTGTGCGTGCGTCCCCAAAATCCCAAGAGGAGAATGGAGGAGAAGGGATTGCGGCGTGACCATCCCCCCTGGGGGGTGATTTCTCGCTTTCTGTCTCTATGTCTTTCTCTGTCTGTCTGGCGAGCGCACACGCCCTATAGTGAAAAACCTCTCAAAAAAAAAAAAAAGTTATTACCATATCTTCAACAGTTCATTTTCCATTTTGTGTTTCTTCAATGTTTTGTGCTTTTCTTTTTTGCATTGATTCCCTCACTCTCACTGTCATTCTCACCCTCCTTCTTCACTGTCTGTGGTGTCTACAGTTGCTCTCTCTGCCTTTGTACCATCCAGTATTTCAGTTTCCACCAAAGGGTGCAGACACTTCGTGAGGATATGTCATGCCTCTCTTTCATAGTCTGGTTGGGTTCATTGTTATTCACATATCTTAAAAATTACCTACAGTTTACATTTGAATTAGAAAAAAATGTAAATATATTATCATAACCTATATTATCTGATTCTACTCGATTTCCACATCCTTGTTTTGGTTAAGTCACATTGCCATTTAAGTACCTCAACCCACACAAATCCAAGTTATTTATTTTCTATGTCAAAGCAGCATTTTTAAAATATTCATTCACTTCTTCCTGGAATCCTGAATGTTCTGTGAATAATTAAATAGCTGATTTCTACTCAATATTTAGGTTTCAATGCAAACATGATGCTCTCGATAGGCATTCCTTTAACTTCCCATGTGAAATTACTCTCCCATATATTTTCTTGTTTACTATCCTTTACACATATTACAATCTGTAATTATCTCCTTTATTTACCAAATGGTTGTCTGTTCCTATCATTAGAAATGTAGGTTCATATGATCAGGAATAAGAAATTTATCTGGAAAACAATTTGATAAATATGTAGTAAATTAATGACTAGAGAATAATTTAATGAAACCGAGGAAATTAATCATTCTTGGAGTCAAAAATAAACTTATGTCAGATAGTCATTAACGTCACTTTGTTCTTCTCTCACTCTTTAGAATACATTTCTGGGGACCAGCAGTTAGCATAATGGCTATGTTACTGAACTCCCATGAGGCCGACTGTGGTTTGAGTCCCAGATCCGTGGTCTAAACTCATGCTGGGCACATGTGCATGCGTGCCCAGGATCTGGAGAGGAGAATGGAGGAGAAGGGATTGCGGCATGGCCATCCCCATTGGGGGGTGATTTTCGCTTTCTATCTCTCTGTCTTTCTGGAGAGTGCACATGCCCTATAGCAAAAACATCTCCAAAAAAAGAAAAAGAAAATTAAAATTAATAAAAGAAAAAAGAAACAAAATAGAATACATTTCTGTTTTCTTTCTACTTCATCCTTCTTAGAAAAAGAGAAAATGTCAATGACGCTGGGCTTTTACACATGCCAACCCACTGATATGCAGATATATCTTATGATATAAAATAATGTTATAAAATTTTATGAATAAAATTGTGATTAAAGTATAAAAACAATGACAAACATATGAGCATTGTATAAACTCATAATACAAGAACACAAAGAATAATAAGTAGAAAGAGTAGGAACATACTGTACATCCAGAAAATCATAATGTCTCACAATTTTTTTAAAAAGTACAACCTGTGGTATAGCAGGTGGCATGGTGGTTTGGAGCTGGATCCCACATGACCTACTCTATGGTTTGAAGTCCAGACTCAGTGACCTTAAAACATGCTCTGTACAAGAACATCCATGCCTAAAATTCCCAGAAGAGATTTGAAGAGAAGGGATTGTGTCTTGGTCATCCTCCCTTCCCTCTCTGTCTCTCTGACGATGGCATGTACCTTACGGGGAAAAAAAAAATGCCAAAACAACAAAAGAATGGTACAATTTTCACCATTTAAAAAAATTTGTTCAGTCATTTTAAAAGCTACAGAGGAATCAGTAGCCTAAACAACAGATTTGAGAACATATCTCTCTGTATCATTGTCTGTGTTAATAAAATGGAAAATAAGAAAAGAAAGCTAACAGGCATATATGTCGCAGTGTTCAAGTTCAGCATACATCCAATAAAAGTTATAGAAGGTGGAATGTAGTAGTAGATGGATTTGCACAATGCTTAGAATATGCTGACTTTGGGAACCAGCAGTTAGTGTAATGGCTATGTCGCTGGACTCCCACTTAGTCGACCGTGGTTCGCGTCCCGGACCCGGTGGCTTAAAACGCATGCCAGGCACCCCTAGGGGGTGATTTCTCGCTTTCTGTCTCTATGTTTCTCTCTGTCTGGCAAGCGCACGGGCCCTATAGCAAAAACCTCTCCAAAAAAAAAAAAGAATATGCTGACCTTTAGAAATGGCAAGCAACATAAAGAAATTATAAGGAGGGACCAGTAGGTCACATGGAGGTTAAGGCAGCCCATCCCACCTGGCTGACTGAGCAGTTTAAGTCCTGGACCCAATGACTTAATAAACATGCAGGGCATGTATGCTCCTGTGCCCGAAATCCTGAGAAGAGAATGAAGGAGAAAGGGTTGCAGCATGCCAATCTCCCTTGGGGGGGAAAGGGGTTTATTTTTCAGTTTCTCTCTCTATCTCTATCTCTCTGTCTATCTCTGGCAACCCCATATGCTTTACAACAAAATATAAAAGAAAAGGAATTCATGCAGAGACATCAGCTTAAAATTGTAGCCACCAATGTTTGCAATAAATTTATAATACATTTATAATTCAGTCAATTTAAAAAGAACTAAATGAAAATGCTACCTGATACTAGACCATTATTTGACCTACTTAATTTACCATTATTGCTTTTTCCCTCTGCAAAATGATGGCATAATTTATAGATCTAGGAACATGAGTTTAATAACTGAGCAAGATTATTACATAATCTTGCAGAAATATTACCCAAGAAATTGACTTTGCCATTTTACAGCAGGCCTAGGAAAAAAAATTGTTTAAAACTTGTAATAACACGGGCTGGCAAGTGGCATGGTGGTTAAAGGCGCTGGACTCCTACATGGCCGACCACGGTTCAAGTCTCAGACCTGGTGGCTTGCTTTCTCACTTTCTCTCTCTCTCTCTCTCTCTCTCTCTCTCTCTCTCCTCTCTGTGTCTCTCTGATCAAACTGGAAAATACTGATGATAATAATAATAAATAAAGTTAAATAAAATAATTCTAAAAAAAAAAACTTGTAATAACATTTCTCTCTTGATTTCTTTTTTCACAAACAGATGAATTTCCAAGCTCCTACATGGCTCCTGAAAATTCCACTTGGGTCACTGAGTTTATTCTCACTGGTGTCTCAGACAAACCAGAGCTGCAGGTCCCCCTGTTCCTGGTCTTCCTGGTGATCTATGGACTGACTGTTGCAGGGAACGTGGGCATCATCACCCTCACCAGCATTGACTCTCGACTTCAAACCCCCATGTACTTTTTCCTCCGGCATTTGGCTATCATCAATCTTGGAGACTCTACAGTCATTGCTCCTAAAATGCTGGTCAATTTTTTAGTAAAGAAAAAAACCACCTCATACTATGAATGTGCCACCCAACTGGGAGGATTCTTGGTTTTCATTGTAGCTGAGATTTTCATGCTAGCTGTGATGGCCTACGATCGCTATGTGGCTATTTGTAACCCCCTGATGTACATGGTGGTGGTTTCGCAGCGAATCTGCTTTCTGCTTGTAGCCCTCACTTACCTCTATAGCTTCTCTACAGCACTTGTGGTTTCATCTTGTGTATTTTCCATGTCTTACTGCTCTTCCAATGTAATCAATCATTTTTACTGTGATAATGTGCCTCTGTTAGCATTATCTTGTTCTAATACTTACTTTCCAGAAACAGTAGTCTTCATATCTGCAGCTATGAATTTATTTTTTTCCATGACTATAGTTCTAATATCTTATTTTAATATTGTTTTATCCATTCTAAGGATTCGTTCATCTGAAGGAAGGAAAAAAGCCTTTTCCACCTGTGCTTCTCATATGACGGCTGTCACAGTATTCTATGGAACACTACTATTCATGTATTTACAGCCTCAAACTAACCATTCATTAGATACTGATAAAATGGCTTCTGTGTTTTATACACTAGTGATCCCCATGCTGAACCCCATGATCTACAGCCTGCGGAATAAGGACGTGAAGGCTGCCTTAAAGAGATGCATGACAAACTCATGTTATTCATTTAAACCAATGAAATTTTAGAACTCTATAGGTCAATGAAGAGATGGCAAAGACTGGCTGACATTTGGCCACTGCAGTATAATTTGTGCTCTTAGGTTGGGTCTACCTGGAAAGCGCAGATTTCATTTCCAGTCCAAATAACAGGACAAGAGTGGCAGTGAGCACCTATAGACCTAGTGAACTAAGAGACTGAGGCAGGAGTCTCACAAAGGTTAGGCTGGCCTACATAACAAAGCAATATCCAGACTGAAAAAAAAATAGAGAAAAAAAATGATAGGCAGTCATTATATTAGAGAAGGTAAAGTTTAGGTGACTGACTACAGACTTTACAGCAATTCTGGATTTCAAAAGGAAATGGAATTTGAGGATCACTGAATTTAACATTGAACTGAAGCTTTTTTATATACAGAAATAGATGTTCTCCTTTAGCTTTGCCCAGGAGTTAGCAGGTAGCTGCTAGGAAGAGCTATTTCAAGAAATAAAGAAAGATGAAATAAAAAGTAAGTAAGTTTGGATGAAGCAAAAAGATATGGACAGGAAAAAAATGAAGCAGACCTTTCTTATTCATTAGCTTCTTTCATTTTCTCCTGGGTAAAGCTGTGTGTGATGGGTTGATGCAACTTGAAAAATTACAATACAGATAACTGAAATCCTTTATATAGCTAAGCTAGCAAAATTGAACTGATAATTTTATTTAAAATAAAACTCCTATTTCTTAAAATTGTTTCAGTTAAAAATTACACTAAGACTGAATTTATTTTCTGAATGATAACCAAACTAAGATTTGAAATATTGTGTGTGTGTGTGTGTATCTCTATATATAATTATAATGAAAAACACAGACTATCATAAATAAATATATGTTATTGCTATATTTGATTTATAAGCAGTAAATTATGTAAAGGTTTTCATTTCTCCTTATGCTAACAGTCATTCTGCCTGCATAGTATGTAAAATAAAATGCACTGTTTTATTATTTAATAAACATTTAATGGTCCATGATCATGAAAGTTCCCTCCACCATGAGGAGTGAGGAGAAAAAAAATTTTTTTGGAGAGGTTTTTGCTGTATGGTGCGTGCACTCTCTATAAAGACAGAGAAAGAGAGACAGAAAGTGAGAAATCACCCCCCAGCGGTGATGACCATGCCACAATCCCTTCTCCTCCATTCTTTTCTCAGGATCTTGGATATGCACGCACACTTGCATCTTTTGTGTGTCTATTCTAAAACATGATTTATTCAATTATTGAATTGCCTTCACTTAACTGACAAACTTGAGATTCTAAGAATTGCATATTTATCAGTAGTAATATAGTTTATCCCGTAATATGAAGGAACTTCTAAATTATTGAACATGTTTATATTATGTAGGTTTTACTCCAAAGTTCTCACTTGATAATTCTCTCTCACAAATCAGGAGAGGATATGAGAAGTAACAATGCCCCAGTGGGAATGGAATAAAAATCACTTGTTAATTTAAATTCTCCAATGGCTTTAAAATTAGCATTAAAATAACCAAACAAAAAAATTCACAATTCCTACTACCTATAGAAGTCAAAGTAAAAAAAAAAAAAAAAAGATTGAGGGAAAATAGATTCTCTATTAGAGGAATGGTCTGGTCTCACGAGGATTACTAAAACACCCTTGGGGTTTTGCAGGGTGCTGGCTTTCACTTCTGCCAGCTCAGGCCACAGATGTAAGAATGGATGTCACATATGACAGGAGAGGGTGATGGTCTGCAGGGCTGACCTATGCAAAAAGTTTCCGGGTTCATGAGACAGTTTTCAATTAATGTCTTTGTTCTTTCCTAGTTCTGGCTGCATGTAATTGTCCTGTCTCCTCAGACTCTTCTGGTCTGTGACAGTTTGACTGTTTTCCTATTTTCCATGACCTCAACAGCTTTGAGGAGTAGTGGTCAGGTGTTTTGTAGAATATCTTCCAATTTGCAAGTGTCTGTTTTATTTTCCTTTCCTCATTGTTAGATGGGGAACACAGGTTTTAAGGAAACATAGTCCTGCTCTCATCAGGGATACGTGTTACCACATTATCATTAGGAATGCTAATTTGGACTTAGTCAAGATATTTTTGTCAGGTTATTCGTTGTAGAGTTATTTTTCCCTTTTCTTTATTCCTTACTCTGTATTCTCTGGGAGTAAGCCACAGGTCTAGCACTTAAGGTGACTGAGCACTGCATTTCACCTTCTAGAAGGTGGCAGCAATTTGGGTGAATTATTGATATTTGCCTGGCCTAGCAGCACAGCTATTAAGTGTTGTGTATAGAAAGTCAGACCCCGCATGACCAACTATGGTTCAATGTCCAGCCCTCACAGTTTGCAAAATTCAGTGAGTGCAAGTATGAGTGTGCCCTAAATCCTGACAGGAAGAAGGAAAGGAGCAAAAAGAATTATGGTGTGATCATTGGGAATGTTCTCTCCTCTTCAGTCCCATCCCCTCTTCTCCCTCGAGCATGCACATGTCCTCTGAGAGTACAAGTGAAAAATGCATGTTGTTTAAATCTCTGCCTTCAGGTCATACACTCCCCTGTGTGTACTGGGAACATGTGCACCCATAATACAGGACTAACCAATACAGGCATGGTTGTGCCATGAAGACCCTGTTGATGGTGCTGTTTCTCTATCTTTTTCAGTTATAGAGGAAATAAAATTTTAAAATAAAAAAGGAACATACTTCTCTGTTTGATTGATTTTTTTATTTGTTTGCTCATTGAAGAAGTCAAATCCCCATTATATGCATTAAAACACCATCTTATGATATAATAAAAATTCTAATAATTTTAGCATTTTGATGAAAAAGAACGAGGAGAGGCCAACTGGTGGAGGTAGGTGGCTGGCTAGCACATGGTGACTCTATAGTTACAGTCCTGGACCTGGCTGCTTGAAAAACAGCATGTGTATGCATGAATGTCTACAATTATGAAAAGAGAAATAAATGAAGGAGACGGGGTTGTGGCATGACCATGCACCATAGGAGGTGCTTTCTCCCTCTCTTTCTCTTTCTCTGTCTCTCTGGTGAGCACATGTGCCCATCGGCAAAAGTTTAAAAAAAAAAAAAAAAGATGAACTACAGCAATGACTATATCCCCTTGAGTATATCTCTCTCTCTCCCTCTCTCTCTCTCATCTCTTTCTCTCTTGGAAGAAATAAGCAAATAAACTACAACAACAACAAATGTGAAGCCTTGGGACCAGTAGTTTGCGTAATGGCTATGTCGCTGGACTCCCATATAGTTGACCGCGGTTCGAGTTCCGGACCGCCTTGGCAGAAGCTTAAGTAAGCAAGGAGGCCCCATTATTCTTTAGACTCTTTATTTCCCTGAAATTTAGAAAAATCTAATTAGGCTGGGAACTCATATATCTACAAAAGATAAAAAGGAAGGGAGTTACATAGTGCTTTTTAGTGTTCATCCACTCATAAATCAATGTTAAACTGGGCTATATTATTGTAATCTAATGTTCCAAGGTGAAAGCTTCAATTCGTTGCATTGCATTTTCAGAGCATTTGAGCTCTGTCCTTTGGCCATACATAACTTTGTTACATGTTTACTCATAGCACTACTTCCTCTAAATCTTGTTGATAATGAGCTGATATAAAAGTGAGAACATGGATTTTGCAGGTTGGATTAAGCCATGCATTACATATAGACACTTATAGTGGTTGTTAAGACCGTACGTAAGAAAGCAAACTTATATTTAAAGGTTATCAAGAGGACTGTATGCAGGATTCACTGGATGAAGCTTCAGAATTTTCTTATTAAAGAAAATGGCAATTTTGGTTTCCCATGCACCTCAATACACTGTACTGTATAAATTATGAAAGTTATTTCATTGTTTAGCTTCATGTTATCTTTTAAGACAAAAATTTAAAATAATCGGGGTGCCAAATGTAACTTCTAGACTCTAAATACTTCTTATTTACTGGTAAAGCTTTTCTCTTAATAAAATTTAGGGTTGAATGGCTTGTCCAGGATCACTACCCATCCTATGTTCTTAAGTTTTATTTCTGTGTGTGTGCACACAAGTACATGCACAAATACTGTATTACACATATTAATCATCTCAATATTGGATTATGTCATGATATTTTTATAACGAGGTACAGAGATGAGAAATTAAATCAATTATGTCAGATGTGTTTCCCTCTTGAAAAAAAGGCTGTGTATATTAAAATAATTATTTAATAAGTGAAACATACAATCCACACTGATAAAATTCCATTTATCGTTCTCATTTACACAATGTAAATAGATTGTGATTTTTCAGCATTTGCTACTTTTCTGTTTTAGTCATACTTTATTCATTCATTATAGAAAAGGAATTTAATGTTCTATCCTATTCATTAAATATTTCAGTTCAATGTTATGGTTAAAAAATTATTTAGTGCTTTAGGGCTAGGGGAAAATATATATTTAGTAGAAAGCTAAGGGGAAATTTTTAAGTTCATAGCCAGTCTGTAAAACACAAATCCATCCTTCTTACCCACATGGTAGCTTGGCAATATAAGTCTAACTCATACCTAGTTTAGACTAACTAGAATGTTAGCACATCCCCATAGCTTTTACCAAGTGACTGGTGAATATCATATGGAGGAGTAGGTTCTTGGAAGAATAGAAAACACATTACAGAGAAAGTGATTGGTAAGAATTTTCTTTTTTAAAAATATTTATTTCTTTATTTATGAGAGAGCATGTTCATGTACATGTGAGAATGAGAATGAGAGAGAGATAGGAATACTCTCTACAAAGTTTGGTCACACTTCAACCCCCTCCCTCAGTCCTCTAGCTCATCAGATTCTGGGTACTGGTGAATACGCCAGGTTTGTTCTCAAGCTTATCTGATCAGATATTCTAGCCATGATCAGTATGGGGAATCCAGTCTTTCTAGAACTGCACATCACCACTGTATCACTGAAAAAGTCTTAGAATTTTCAAAAGGTAGTTTCTACCTGTAACTCAAAGTCAAATATCAACACTGACACTAAAAATCTGTAACAGCAAAGATATTGTGAAATAAACTTACAAAAATATTTTAATAGTTAGGGGACTCTTAGCAATAGCATCATCTTAAAGACACAGTTGTGTATCTGAACTTATTCAAAAACAGAGGATCACATCAATGAACCTTAGGCCTGCCTGGGAATCCCAATGGGCCATGGACTATAATCACTTTTATAATCTTATTTGCATTATACTCTAGAGTAAGATCCTTTGGGACAGAGATACTGACAAAAGTCATGCAGTTAGTTGCTATCTGTATCCAGTATGAGAAGAAATAGAAACACCTTGTACCTGAGTAGTTTAGAAAAATGTACTTTAAGATAATAGAATTTGATTCACAGGTGGGTATTAAAATCAGTATGGAAGCTCAAGATAATAATTTTAAAATTAGAGTGTAATACACTAATTCGATTTTAAATTTTTTAAATGGAGTATAATACGCTGATTAGATTTTGTATTTTGGATGAAGATAAGCGATCTTCATTTTACGTTTGTATACCTCTGTGCATTATAATTTTAAAATATCTATTAGATGGAACTAAATTTAAAAACCAGCTTAAAACCCATGGAAAGATTTGAGAAATATGAGATCCATTTGTGACACGGTTTATGATCTATATATAGCCAAAACTTTACTTTCTATTTTTCCAGTAACTAGATATTTTGTCAAGAATTACTTGGGAGTACATTAGAAAAGGTCACCAATATGTCCCTAGATAGTTTCCAAAGCAAATGATATAAGAGTAAGGGGGAAGTGTTCAAATATCACTACCAAAATCAATCTTTCATTCTCCACCATCTAACATCTAAAATAGGCAGCATTTACAAACAAGAGACTGGCAGGGCATTCAATCATAAAGCATCTATAGTCTTTCAGGAGAAGTATGGGAACAGAAGCTGTAACAAAGGTAAGAAATGCACATGAGGTATGTCTAAAGTACTTCTAGAACAAAATTATGAAAAAAAAAAAAAACCTAACATGAGAAGGAAAAATCAGATAGCTCTTCATTTAAGATATTTCAACAGAACTGGAAAAATAAATAGAAACTTTCCCTTACACTGTTTCTTCCCCCCCCCCCTTTTCTTTTTTATTCCATAGAAAAGGATACTAAGAATGGAAAGGACAAAAGTAGAGAAGCATAAAAGGACATGTTGTTACTGACAAATGCAAATCAATTACAATATCTGAACCAATGGATGCCAACTAGGTATTGGGGAAATTGAATGGAATTGGGATTAGTATAAAAATATTCAAGAGTAGACTGTAAAAATTTGCATGCACTTCAGAAAAAAAAAAAAACAAAGATAGTGCTCTACTTTTATTACAAAGTAAAATGCTTTGGATGCACAACTTTCAGAGTTTTGAGTTCTGCTACTGGAGTAGAACATCGAGAAGTAAGAGATTAAATAAGTAGAAGAAAGTTAGGTAAAGCTTTCAGTTTTCCCAGGCTAGTCTATTGCCTGTTTTTCTCTGCTCTGTCTTTCCTCTAAGTACAATCTGGAAATCAATAGTTCTCATTATATATAACTGAGAGGAAATGAGTATATTGAAATAGACTCCTAAGGGAATAAAAATAAGACAAAATTGAGAGAAATACTAAAAATAGAATGTGCACAGTTTTAGTCACCGATCAGAGTGAAAGGCATTTTTAGGACCTATTTATAGGTAAGATCCACACTTACTTTGTTAGTGAAATGGTGTGTTATATGGTAAATAGAGGGGAATTATTTAAATTATATTTGTAATACTAGTAAATCAATCATTCAGTTTTTAGGGTACTGATCAGCATTATTTGGATTAAATAGAATAGAACAAATTACAGTAAAATACACAAGAATGTAGAAGATAAGCACATGCCATGAAATTAGAATATTATTCTGAATTAGCACCATACCATCTGGTAAAAACATTTATTTCTGTAGTTTATGGTAAAAATTTTGAGTGTGAAAATATTCTAGAGAAGGATCTCATTTTGAGCAGTTAAGTAAGCACACATTTAATTTTATCTCCATTTTTCTATTTTTTTATTTTTTCATTTCTTTATTCCTTGCTAAAAATCTATTTTTATTTTGAATATGAAAATTGAAGATTTGGAATTTCTGTTTTTAAAACCATATTTCCTTTCGTTTCCATAGTGATATGAGTAGACATTAAAACTCCATCTTTGGCCAGCCCATAATGTAGAGGTTAGGGTAATCCCCAACAATTGACTGTGTGGTTGAGTCCTAGACACAGTGACTTGAAAAATAGTGGATCTATGGCCATGTGGGCAGAAAAACGAAGGAGAGGAAATGAGTTGTGACTATGTCCCGTGGGTTGTTTTGTTTGTTTTACTTTTTTTCCGCCCTCTCTCTCTGGTGATTGCACATACCCTTGGGGCAAGCTGAGTGTCCAAGATCCAAAGGGCTGGAGGACTGAAAGAAGGGGATAGTGGCATGTTGCACTCTGTGGAAGATGCTTCTCTATCTCTGTCTTTTTTTCCAGATATATGCATGTGTACACTATTATGAATAAAAAAAAATAAAAACTAAAATCAAGTTTAGTGAGATAAAATGTGGTAATAACTAATTATACCTTCCGTAAAGTAGCCATTTGCCATATTTATTTTTTTATTTTTTCATTATTTATTTTTAAGAAATATTTATTTAATTCAATTTATTATTATTTTTTTTAATTTGACCAGAGAGATAGAGAGAAAGGAAAAGTGAGAAAGCAAGTTACCAGGTCCAGGACTCAAACCAGAGTTGACCATGTGGGATTCCACTGCCTCAACCACCACACCAGCTGCTGGCCCCTATTTTTTATTTTCTGCTATAGGGTAGGTGCCCTCCTGAGTGATAGACAGAGACAGAAAAAGAGGGGAAAAGTGAGAAATCATCCACCGTGGAGGATGATCATGCCACAATCCCTTCTCCATTTTTCTCGCAGGATTTTGGGCATGTACACATACACGTCTAGTGGGAATGTCAAGACCCTGGATCCGGGACTCCAATGACAACATAGCCACGTTGGCGTCCAGTCACCTTAACCTCCATGCCACCTGGTAGCCTAGTGTTTTAATTATTAATGTACCATCCAGATTATATTGCAATCTGAACTGTTTATGCATGATGCATCATTAATTTAAAACAGAAAACCCCAAACAGCTCTGCCAGCATTGTAATGTAAAATATGCAGTATCATCTGCACAGATAAGAGGACAAACGCGTCAATGACTCAGGTGGAGAAGATCGGTGTAACCTTATGCTGCTGCTATCAACCTCTCTTCAGTAAAGGCTTAGCATCAAATTTAAAAAGTCAGACTATAGTTTTACATGATAGTGCACAACATCCTTGAACAGAAACTGGAGCAATATAGACTGGTTCACAGCTTCTATCTCTGCCTGCACTATGGATTTTGGGAAAAAGAAATACACCTTTTCGACAGTATCTCTTTTATGATCCATCATATTCTCGGAACCTCAGTATATTAATAATAACAGCTTAAAAAAATATGAGCTAGCGAAATATAAAAAGGCCATTTATAGGAGATGTAGTGTGAAAACACAAACTTAACTCTTATCTCCACCTCTTCATCTAGATTCCCTGAAGAGTCATGGCTGAGATCAATTGCACCCAAGTGACAGAGTTTATTCTCCTGGGCCTCGCGGATCGTCAGGAGTTGAAGATGCCCCTCTTTGTGGTATTCTCATCCATCTACCTTTTCACAGTAGTAGGCAACCTGGGTTTGATCCTAGTCATTAGAACAGATGCAAGACTCAGCACACCAATGTACTTTTTCCTTAGCAACCTGGCTTTTGTTGATTTTTGTTATGCTTCTGTCATTACCCCCAAAATGCTTGGGAATTTCTTGTACAAACAAAATATTATATCTTTCAATGCATGTGCTACTCAATTAGGCTGCTTTCTTACCTTCATGGTATCAGAGTGCTTGCTACTGGCTTCCATGGCTTATGACAGATACGTGGCCATTTGTAACCCTCTGCTGTATATGGTGACAATGTCCCCAGGAATCTGCATTCTGCTTGTAGCTATACCCTATAGCTATAGCTTCCTGATGGCATTGTTTCATACCACCCTAACCTTCCGTCTCTGCTATTGCCACTCCAACATCATCAATCATTTCTATTGCGATGACATGCCTCTGCTCAGACTAACATGCTCAGACACTCGCTCCAAACAGCTGTGGATCTTTGCCTGTGCTGGGATCACATTCATTTCCTCTGTTCTGATTGTCTTTGTCTCCTACTTATTCATCATCTCTGCCATTTTGAGGATGCGCTCAGCTGCGGGAAGACGCAAGGCTTTCTCCACATGTAGCTCCCACATGCTGGCTGTCACCATATTTTATGGGACCCTGATCTTTATGTACTTACAGCCCAGCTCTAACCATTCTCTTGACACAGATAAGATGGCTTCTGTCTTCTATACAGTGATTATCCCCATGTTGAATCCCTTGATCTACAGCCTTCGGAACAAGGATGTGAAAGAGGCCCTGAAAAAAGCCCTCGTCAATAGAAACCAGGCATTTGTGTTCAAGAAACTGAGAAAATAACTTGCATAAACAAAAGTGAGCTTTCCTTCATGATCTGGCTCCCCTTCCTTATTATAAAGCTAATAGAATACCTTGGTCTTAATTGATCATAAATAAAAATTTGCTCACTGGAAAATGAAAACATTCTCTCTGTATTCTTTGAAATCAAGTTTGACTTAGAATTATGTTTGATATGAGGAACATGTCATGATAAATTACCTCAAGTATTATTTCTCACATGGAGAAATGCACTTTAAAACAATATAATTTCATCTGATAGTTATACTTGTAGTTACTGGCCAACAGTAGATGAAAATTAAAGCACCACGAGCTCCCAGTTCAGTATTAAAAAACATGCTTTAATGATATTTATTTTAAATTTTTTATTTATTTCTTCTTTAAATAAAAAGGAGAGGAAAAACACAGAGAAAGGACTCCCCAGCAGTGCCTTAGACCATTCTCTAAACAGGGTTAAACCATACCTGGATTATGGGCAGAAGTGTTCCAGCATGTTTGGAAGGAACCTACAAAATTGGGACCATCCTAGGGGGTCAGCCTTCCAGAGAATTGTGTTATTATTGCCCCATAGTCTAGTCCCAAATAATACATTCAAAATTAAATTTGAATAATATATCCTAAGTTAAATTTAATACGATTGATGCAAGTATAAACTAGTGGTTTCAACAACTGGGAGCCATTTTTTTCTTGTAGGGGGCATTTGATAATGTTTGGAAATACTATTTATGTTCATAATGACAGAGTGGTATAAAAAATACAATTGCTATCTAGAGGTTTGAGGCCAGGAATGTTACAAAATAATCTGTGATTCACAGCATAGCACCCTGCACAAAAACTTACCCAATTCAAATGGTAATGGTACCAAAATTGAGAAGGCCAGCCCTAAACATGTGTTTCATCAAAATTGTTTAATAGACTTCAGTCAGTTCAAGCTGGCTGATGCTTTTATTGCGAAACAAATTGGAACAGCACATGATGACAACAGAAACCTGGGATCCCCAAACATGAAATTAATCTTTCAATACATAGAATCAAATCTTAGATCAGACATACACACACTTTTTGAAAATTAATGTTTGCCATTTATACGTGACTAGTGGTTTAATTCAGTCCCAGTTAGAAGGCCTGAGAACGAGGGGAACTGATGCTGTGACTTCCAGTCCAAGGCCTGAGAGCCAAGAAGGATATTGTTGGTGTAAGTCCTGTAGACTGAAGCTCTACAACCAAGAGCCTAGAAGCTAAGGCAGTTAGTGTTTAAAGCACTATTACTTTTGCTTTAAATTTAGTTCTCTAGCAAGATAGTATTTGTGGCCTAGTTGCAGTAGTGCTATTGTGAGATGCTGGAACCACATAAGAAGACCTCAGGTTTGCTTCCCAAAGTCTCTCTGAGCATACCAGGTGCTCCTGTGATTCTGATGACTGCCAAGGCTGGGTCTAGGGAGAGGATGGAGGCACAGATACCCTGTTAAAAATATCAGTTGCTCTCTCACTCTTTCTTTCCCAAAAATGAAATAAAGTAATTTGAAAGAAAAGATAGTATTTGTAGTAGATACACTCGATGATCCTTTCATAAATCAATTACCTTTGGCTTGTTCTTAAACTTGAGCATGCATCATCTGAGTGACATATTAAAAACATAGATTGCTTGATCAAAACCCGGAAGCTTCTGATTTCACTAGGAACAATGGAGCCAGACAACATGTATTTCTAACAAGTTGTCTTATTATCTTGATGCAGCCTACACAGGACCAAACTGTGGTAACATCGTCTCCTGTGAGCCCCTCGTTGTATTTGCATAGCACCTCCTGGTGGATGTTTTTTTCTCTGCTGGATGTTTTTTCTCTGAAAAGCTAGTATCTACATTTTGTTGTTCGAGAACTGTTTTAGGCTTCCTAAAGTTGTTTTGCCTACATGCCAAGAAAGCCAGAAGTCCCTAGGAAGTCATGTAGCACTTAACCAATGACTGATGTGTGTGCACAGAGATAGGAAGACTTAAAGTCCTTTGCCTGATCACTAGGACAATTCAGAGGTTTGACCTACATGTACACCAGAATTATTCCATTGAATTTAGCCACATTTGTACTGTGGTCCTTTGCTTCTATACCCGATTTCTTTACCAGGTTCCAGTTCCTATCACATCAAATGACTATTCTTGGAAACAGTTCCTGAAAAATCACTTCAGTATGAAGCCTTCGCTTTTTGAAATCCTATAATTTTTTAAGTTTTATTTTTCTTGTTTGTTTGTTTTCTTTTGTTTTCCACAGGGCAAGTGCATTTGCCAGAAAGAGACAGAGAGAGGAACAGTGAGAAATCACTTCCTGGGGGAATGGCCACACCATAATACCTTCTCTTCCAGTCTCCTCTGGAGATTTTGGGCATGCATGCACACATGCCCAGCATGATTTTCAAGATGGCAGGTCTAGAACTCTGACTGTGGTTGGCCATGTGGGAGTTCAGTGTCTTAATAACTACACCACCTGCTGGACCCAAGAAACATATAAATTTCATATATTGCATTATTTGTATAATTTGCTGGGGGAAAAATATCTCTTAGATAATAAATGCATTTTGAAGCATTAAAGTTCTTAGAGACTCCTCCACCTCTCTCAGCCTTGGGTACGTCCAGCACCTCTTTCTACCACAAAACTGCTAAATGTGCTTCTAAGAAACTGTTTTCAGCAGGCTGAGATCACAAGGGAAGTGCAGGTTCAATTTCCAGTCGAACCTGAAGGCCACGCTTGGTGTCATGTACCTGTAATCCCAGCATTTTAGGAGTCTGAAACAGCAGAATCGCAAGCTTAATACTAGCCAGGGCAATAGAATAAGTTTCTTTCTAAAAAGTTAGATGCGGAGTTGCACATCTATGGCCCCAATTAGAGGCTGAGACATGATTGTGACCTGGAAAAACTTTGTCTAAAAGAAAAAAAAATAATTGTTTAGGATATATAGTCAAGCTTAGTTTGCATGTAGACAAAAAGTTCTGAGTCCTTTGGGAAATTTTCTTTCTTTCTTTCTTTTTTTTTTTTTTTTTGAGAGGTTTTTGCTATAGGGTGTGTGTACTTGCCAGAAAGACAGAGAGAAACAGAGAGACAGGAAGCGAGAAATCACACCCCCAGGGGAGATGGCCACACCACAGTCCTACTCCATTCCCCTCTCGGGATCTTGAGCACACATGCACACGCACCTGGCCTGAGTTTAAGCCACCGGGTCCAGAAATCGAGCCACGGTTGACTACATGGGAACACAATGACTTAGCCATTGTGCCAGCTGCTGGTCCCGCGAAATTTTCTTCTTTAGGTCTGAGTTTTCCTCTTGGATAAATGATAGGGTCCTGCTATATACATGGTTTTGTTTTTTCCTTTTATAGAATTTTATTCACACAAACAAATTCTTAATTATATAAAAACAACAGCAACAATAATAATCAAAGCTATAATACTTTAGTAAATGAAGGGGTAGACATGAAGCTTTGACCAATTATTCTTTTAAGACTTTTTCCAGGTACCTTCCTTCTAAGTCATTCAACAATCACTTGAGTCATCTCCACAGTATCAGATTACTAGTCTAAGAATTGTCTGGAAACTGCGATCCTACATATAATTTATGGTTTCATGTACTGTATTTCTGTTCTCTATTTTATCATAAGTATCATAGAAACTGCTTTGCAAATAAAGTCTCTCATCAGTCCTGCTCCTGGCCTATGCTTGAAAAGTCTCCATTCTTTCAAATCATCATGTCCTCTTGCACCTCCAGTTGCAGACAATTTTGTTCATAGTGCATTACTCATGAGAATCTGAAAACCTCCAGGCCTACAGCACTGAAAATTGTATATCTACAGTAAAAAGGAACTTGTGTTTCTTGGCTCATTTCTCACGGTGCATGTTACTAAGATACTGATACCTGAAGACCTAGGCTGACTGGAAGGCACCTGCAGTCCTAGTTGACTGGAGGCTAGAGGGGTGATGTGAGGAGATCCTGTCAACAGTATCTCTTTCTCTCTGTCTGTCTGTATCTCTCTCTCACATATACATACATACACACATGGAAATTTTATCTCTTGGAAAATTCGAGACCTGTATGGCTAATATTAATTGGGAAATTATGTTTTTTAAAATATTAAGAGGTATAACTTTAATAATGTTGCTAGGAAAAAACATGACTTTTCAAACATTGCATGTATGTCCAATCTATAGTTTTATGTTATTGAGAGAGTGATTTCCATTTCAATTTGGGGATCCAGGTTGTCTATTTTAATAATTTTTTTCTAATTTCATAATTTTTCATTATTTGCCGTTGCTGCAATTTATTTTTCGATAGAAACATGCTAAATGACTATACTGAATTTTTAGCTTAACGTAGAGGTTCAGCCTTAAAGTTCTTATAGGCCATTCTCTGTTACAATTCAGAAAAGAATGTGAGATAAATAAGTTTCCTTATTACTTAAGTATCATGAAAGCTTTTACATTCTCCTGATTTGCCAAAAATAAACCTTTTAAAAATTATTTTACTAATAAAGATATTACTTGTTATGTACATTTCTATGGGTTTTTGACATATGCATAGTGCCCTATAACTACCACCTCAGTAACAGCTAGAATGTTTCTTTCATGCTAATTTTCCCTATGCATTCCCTAGTGACATAATCTTTCTATTCTCAAACTTAGTTCAACTGTGAGGAACTCTTTTTTCTAAGGATTAAGAGATGAAGAGATAGGCCCAGTTGCTATGACATAGTAGGTAAAATAATGGACTGCAGAACTAGAAGCTATATATTAAGTCCCTGATTCAGTTGACCTAAAAACACATCATGTACTTGGGATTCTAGAGGGTTAACCAACTGGGGAAAGGGGACTAGGACATGGCTGATCCTAGTGGGTACGCTTCTCTCTCTCAACGCATGCACTCTCTCTCTCTAGTACATGCTGTATCATGAATTTAAAACAAAACAAAAAGAAATGAGAAAATAAAATATCTCTTGAAAAGAACTTTTAGTAACCTATGTA